TTTGATGAAATTTGGATTTAGACTCAAATTAGGCATATGGGGCTAATTTGGGTCAAACTTGAGCTAGCTTTGGACTAAGCTCAAATTGATTATTGTGTTTGGTCACAAATGACCTCACAAAGGGTTTGCAAAAAAAATTGGATGCCCATTTGAGGTTTAGAGCATTCAATTGTTGAGATTTGGGGTGTTAGCCAGTATTGGGGATAATTTGGGGTTTTGGCTTTAAACCAAATTAGATGATCAAAAAGTTTTACCAATGCAAATTTATGGTCAAATTTGATGTAAAATATTGCTATGAAGCAAATACAACATTTCTTTGGGCCAATTGGCATGGTTATAAGTCCAATTGATGTGATTTGGTCATTTAGTCAGAGTATTGTGAGAGTATGGTGAGGGTATTGTATATCTTAGCTCCGAACCAACACCCATGGTCAATCCTAAAGTCAAGCAGCCCTATAGGAACTCTCCTTGAGTTCCCTCATAATGATCTTACCTACTAAGTGCTAGAGGTTAGGACCAATATGTGGAACTTCAAGTTGAGTAAAGAGAAAAGTTTTGAGTTTCTAAGTTTCTGGGTACCTTTTCTAATTTTCTAAGACTAGTCAGTAGGAAAGGAAAGTCTTATGGCTAGACCTAGGCTACTAAAGAAATTTCTAGACCTCAACCAAAAGTGAGGTCAACAATCATATCAAATTTGGCAAGGCCATATGTTTTTTTCTCTTTCCAGATTTTATTACATAAAATTTTTTAGGTCTATGTTAGTTATTTATTTCTATCTGAGTGCGTGTCAGATTCTCGTACAATGCTAAGATGATAATTCATTACTCTACTGTCACGAATATCCTAGCACGCATTAAGATTTATGCTCGATAATAAAAAATTCTTTATAATGCATCAAGAATATTTATTAATTAAAGATAAAACGCATTACTTATGCTCCACTAATTAGTGAAGTTCACGATCAGAATTTATAATCTGAATCACAAAGTTGGCCAATCACAAATTGACTCATACATCCATTTATTTCTTAGTTATAATACAAAAGTTAAAAATAAAAAATGATGTAACATGAGTGGAAAATGATTGGGGACACATAAAACAAAATATAACAGCAGTGGAAAATGATTGGGTATTTAAAAAATGAAGCTAAAATTGGCTCGATCGGAGTCTAATCAAGTCCGGGTCAAATCATTTAACCTCAATTGGAAGTTTTGTATAGGCAATTTAAAAATCAAATGGATTCAAATTTGACATACTTATAATCAAATCGAGTGTCTCGTCGACCTGAATCCAACAAGCCCAACATGACTCAATTTTGTCATCATTAAAGCACTCAAATGCTCATAAAATATCATTTGATCAAAGGGATCGCTCCAGGTTGTTCAATTGATTGTATTTTTTTTTTCTAACAAACCCCTAGTGGAAGTTATGTCATTTAAGTAATCTTGCTTTTTGGCCAATTAAGTGTCCTAACCTATATTAACATAGTGGAATCATTTCAACTGGTTCTGACCCCGTAGTTTTTTTCCCTTTTAGATTTTCCACGTAAATATTCATGTCCCCGCCGTCCATTTTTTTTCATGTGTGCGTGTTTGATCTTCGTACAACACTAAGATATAAATACACCACTCTACTGACCTAAACTTACTAGCACGCAGCAAGAATAAATGTTAAAGTTTCTTTAACACCACAGTCAAGTTGGTGAAGATTTAATATTTTTAAGTTATTATTATTATTATTATTATTAGTGTTAGTATTCATATTCTTATTCTTATTTTTTTTAAATTCAAGTTCATGTTCTTGTTCTTGTTCTTATTATAGTTTTTATTCCAATCCCTTTTTTTTCCTTTTGTTCGTGTTCTTATTCCCATTCGTATTCTCCTTTTATTATTATTATTGTTATTATTATTATTATTATTATTATTATTATTACATTTGATTATATTTGGAACGGAATAATTAATTTAATTCGACATTCAAACCTGCGTAAAAGATATAAACTTATTTATTTATTATTTTATATTTTAAATTAATCGTAAAAGCTAATTCATTTCTAAAATTGTGAATATCAATTTTTTTTAAATAAAAGTTTAATATGAAAATAAATGATATTATTCTAATTTTAGAATGTTCATGTTTTTCATAGTCTTAAAGAACAAAATTTTAATTAGACATTTTTTTTAATTTAAAATTGCTTCGGTATTTCTGATATTAATTTAAAAATAATATTTAAATTTACAAAATAACATACATACCACTCAATTCTTATGGATTTAAGTTTGTCACCTTCGCTGTACATGAAAATATCAAAAACAACAACATCAACGTCAGGTCGGCTACATGAATCTTTTTTCTTCATTGTATCATATTCACACAATGATAAAAAAGGATTCAAGTCATGATTTTTTCTTTGACAAGTTTTATGCTGACAGTCGACTACCTGACTCAACCCTCCACTTTTCACATCTGGGCTGGGGACCGGCACATGAACATATGTACTTCACTTTTTAAAAATTAAAATGGTGGTATATATGTAAGATTATGTATGTAACATACATACCACTCAATAAAAATTGGCTTGTATATATGTAAGATTTTTATTATATATTTCACTTATTCTTTAAAGAAATATTTAGCTAGAATTTTGTTGTCTAATTTGATTAAAAAAAAATGCAAAACTAATTATTTAACGACCTTGAAATTATATTTTATTTTTAATTTAATTTTATGTTTTTTAAAAGGGTGTTTATAGACACAGCACCCAATTCCTATGTATTTACATATCAACACCTAACTCACATTAAAAATAATATAATTATTTTATTTTAATTCATACGTAAAATGTCATTGTATGCTTGGCCATAAAAAATTTTATTGTTCGAGTTGCTAATTAAATAATTCGTATTTTAATCATTTATTAAATAAATGAGCTCAACACGGACAATTTTTTTAACTCGAATTATAATTTAATTTAATTGTATTTATGTCATTTAGCTCAAAATAAACAATGGTTATACATATACATATACATATACATATACATATACATATACATATACATATTTACATGAACATCTAGGGTTGTAAACGAGCAGAACTTGAGTGAGCTCAGACTCAGCTCGTGTTCGGCTCGTTCGAAATAGCTCGTGTTCGAAATCGGCTCATGAACAATGCATTCGTGTTCGGATCGATTTAAATATTCGTGTTCTTGTTCGGCTCGTGTTCGGCTCGAAATTGGCTTGTTAAACTAAAATTGAGAAAAATAGATATAAAGTGTGAAATTCGAACCTAGATCAAATCTATACAAATGAAGACACTAATTACATTGTCACATGAGGTGTTATAATTTAAACCAGAGCCGAACACGAGCTGCTTAACGATCCGAACACGAGCTGTTCACGAACAACGAGCCAAATTGACAGCCCTATGAACATCACATCAAAAATACCAACATCACTACTTTGAAAATCAAATCACAACTTTTCAACCCATGGGTGTTAGTTATGTAAATACATAAAAACTTTACGGTATGCATGTAAATTTTCCTATAAGATAAATAGTAGGACGGACATAAGTCAATCAACTTATAACGTCAATGCACGATAATGTATACATGCTAACACTAATAGATTAAAGAAATAACTTCCCTTTCAGTTCACAATAAAATACGATTCATGTGTGACAATCAATATGAAATAATTACAAACATGACCCTAAAACTTTGATATTTATATTTATATTTATAACAATTTGGTGCCAGCATGAAAAAGTGTATATTTCATTTTTTTTTTAAAAAAAAAAAAAAAACATTAATAATAGTGATATTTTTTATGTGATGTTAAAGATTTGAATGGTATACATGTAAATATTAAAATTTAGGTGTTAAATAGATAAATACAAAAGATTTACATATGTAATACCAAAACATTCATATTTACATGCATACCCACTCATATCTTTAACATCCCATCAAAAATATCACCATCACTAGTAATATACAAATTTTCATGATAGGTTTATGACACCAAAGTTTTATAGCTATAAATATCAATAGCTATAAATATCAAATTTAGCGTGTTAGATATGTATAGACGTAAGAATTGTGTGGTATGAATGTAAATATCCATTTGTATTTAAACAAGTTTGATCAATCCTCTTTAAAAAATAAGAAGAAATTGTAGTAAAATAAAAATAAAGCAATTATTTGCAGATTAAAACTATGAAAAAGATGACTCATTCGGCACTCTTAAGCATTATCAGACATCCAACCAGCATGTAAATTCATGCAATAAAGAAGCAGACAGCGATGGGACGTATCAGAAATGGTACGGACCTAAAGTTCTTCAGGCTGTGGAAGGCCTTTCCATTTGAAATTATCAGCATAAGACTTCACCTGCAGGGTTTACAAAAAGAAAATGGAAGTGAATGATTTCTACTCAATGCTTAGTTAATTATTTTCATCAGCACAATATCACATAAAATAGGGGCATTTACATGTATAACAGACAATTCTTATGTATTTACATATCTAACACCTGGACTTCAATTATTATTGCATTTATACCGCCCAAATCTTTCATATCACATAAAAATTACCACCAAATATACTTTTGCATGCGTAGGGATGCATAAGAAAGGTGAAATGTATGTAAAAATTGAAGTTTAGATGTTGGATATGGGAAAGGTGAAATGTATGTAAAAAAAATTGAAGTTTAGATGTTGGATATGTAAATACAAAAGAATTGAGTGGTTTGGATATAAATCTACCTTTAAAATAACAGTGTAGAGAGAGAGAGAGAGGGAGAGAGAGAGACACACACACACACATACACACGCACACGCATGTAGGGGAAGTGAGAAACTAGAAAACTTTCTTTTAGGCCCCAATACCATGGATAATTACATTACAGATGCTATGCATTTACATATCTCACCCCTAAACTTCACTTTTAACATTTACACCGCATAAATCTTTCATATCACATCAAAAATACCATCGTTTTTCATTCATAGTTACGGTGATATGTATCTAAAAATTGAAGTTTAGGTGTTAGATATGCAAATATAAAGGAATTGAGTGGTATGTATGTCAATCATCCAAAAATAAAATATAACTAGAAAAGCAGTGATGATAACCAAAGATGAATTTATTGAATACCTTCAAAAGAGGAGTATGAGGCTTCTTAACCTGCAAAATGAAAAGATCTGTGAGCACGATTGTATTTACAAAAAGAGTAGCAGTAATATTGTAAAATAAGACAAATCTTGAGCATTATGTGAGATAATAATATGCAAAGTAAATATTAATTTAGCGAATTTAATTATAGGAGCATTAGTTCTAACAGAACGCTAATAATATCTCTCAACACACAAAGATTTGCATGGAGTAACATCTAAGGCTTCTGATAATTTGTAGCTTTTTTTATTTTATTTATTATTTTTTTTTAAGGAATGGCCACGGGCTATTATACGAGCCTTCGGCCACTCCTAATGTGTCTAGCAATTCGAGTATCACGTCCTTCAGGCCAACTGTGCCAGAGGGGATTTGAACCCCGACCTGAGGGGTCTTACACCGAGGATGCCAACCAACTTAATTCACTTATAATATCTCATTCAGGATCTTTAATAAAACAAATTCCTGAAATAACATAATCTCGAGGCAAAGGAGTAAAGACATTAGCTAAAAGAGTAAGGAAATCTATCATAGTATTCATGTTGTTTGCAACGCTTAAATTATTCATGCAATTAATCCACATATTTATTGGAAGATAACTATTGCTACTTTACATTTTAGGCCCGCCCGCATAAGTTTAGTTTAACCTACATCCTTACACCAAAATCATTGACCACACCCCACTAATTTTGATTTTGCACATTCAAATGTTTCGCAATCAAATAATTGGCTATGTTCAAAACAAGTATTTTGAATTGCAATCCATCTTATAAAAGTTCCTCAGTATTATACCTATCAATAGAAAAAATATTACGTCCGGAGTTCGGACGCAGGCTACTTCCAGACAACGGCTACGATCCACTAGAGGTTGTTTTTATTTTTATTTTTTGTCCTTCGTTCCTTCCAGTGGATCGCAGTCGTTGTCCAGACGCAGCTTGTGTCGGGACTCCGGACATAATTTTTTTCCAATGAATGTAGGATCATAGTTTAGATTCCTATGATAGTTATCTCGTGTTTTTTTACAACAATTAAATAATTTGTTTAAAAAAATTAGCTAATTAAGTTTTGAACAAACTTAATTAAAGGAGCCAACCTTTCCCAAAAGGCTTATTTGGCATTACTATTGTTTCATGTTATTGTTTTTCATTTTTTTAGAAACATGTTTGGTAGAATATAATTTTTATATATTTTTATTTTTTATTAAAAAAAAATTAACTAGTTTTTCAAAACAATATTGCGTTTTTAAAAATAATTATTTGAATCAAATATATTTTAATTTAAATCAGAACATACGAAAAATAAATAAAAAAAAATGATAAACAAAAAGTAAAAGTGATCAGAAATGGCCCCCAAGTGCCTTGGAGTCTTGTCTTCGATCTCTTGGGGTTGAACTAGCTTGGATTGAATTATAGCCAAATAAGATTAGTCCAAAGAGTAAGCAAAACAGCAAGGCTTTTACTATTCATATTGCTCAATCATCCAATGCTACTTTATTTCTTCAATCAACACTAAAATAGCTTATTCTCTACTCCAGACTTAACCAATTAACTTAAATGCCATTAGGCAAGGCCCTTGTTATTACTATTATTATTATTATTGTAGAAATTTGGAATAGACCAGCTCAATTTTATTTGATAAGAGGAGGGATATTTAAATCCAATCACAATAGACATAATAATGAAAAGCAATAAAAATAGAATAAAATAACAAGGAAAAAAAAATAGAAAAAAGCAAAAGAAGAAAATATAATCAGGGCGTAACAATCAAATAATAAGAAATAACGGCGCAGGGATGGCCGTTATAATCTAATACTCCCCTTCAAGTTGAAGTATAGATGTTAGTTATGATCAACTTAGACTTGAAGGCATCGAACAAAAGACGACAGATTCTTGGTGAGAATGTCCACTAGTTGACTACTGGAAAGAACATTTGGAATGCAAATCTCCCCGAACTCGGTCCTTTTGTTAATGAAGTGTCTATCGATCTTCACATGTTTGGTACAATCCATTGGATTAGATTGTGAGCAATACTGATTGTCGTCTTATTATCATTAAATAGCTGCAACGAGACAAACGTTAGCATACGGAGTTCCCGGAGCATGATGCGTAGCCAGAGAGCTAACAGATTTCTAAAGACATAGGTCAGAATTCAGCTTCAGCATTGTTTCGGGCAACCACATACTATTTATTGCTTTTCCACGTGGCAATACCCCAATGTGGAGGTCGATCATGAGCTGATCCAGCCCAATCAGCATCTGTATACATCGCAATAGACCGAGAGATGTGACGGGAGAAAAACAAACATGGACCAGATGTACTTTTTAAGTAGTGGAGAATTCGATGGACATCATGAAGGTGGTGCTCATAGGGATCATACATGAATTGACTCACTATTCCAATTGCGTGACATATGTATGGACGAGTATAAGCGAGGTAGATGAATTTTTCCACAATAAGCTGGTAATAAATTCTGTTGACAGGTACAACATTGGGAATGCCGGTCAATTTTTCATTAGAATCCATAAGAAACAACAACGGGTTTGCACAGAAGAAGATTGTTCTCTATCAAGGAATCAATCACATATTTGCGCTGGGAAAGATAATTTTCTTGAGATGACATAGCCACTTCCAAGCCTAAGAAGTACCAGAGAGATCAACAAGTTCTTCATCTCGAAGGACGAAATAAAAATGTCTTTTAAGAACTCCAATAATGGGAGATCGTTATGTGTAAAAATAATATTGTAAATATAAACAATAAGGATAGCTACCTAGTCATTGGAGAAAAGTCGGAAGAAGAGGATGTGATCTGATTGAGCACGAATAAAATCATGGCCCACAACCACCTTTGTGAATTTGTTGAACTAGGCTCTTGGGGACTGCTTTAGCCCATAGATGGACCTTTGTAGCCCACACACTTGTCCTCTGGAGACAGTTGAATCAAAACTCAGAGGGAGAGACATATACACATCGTCTACCAGCTCTTCATTCAAGAATGCATTCTTGACATCAAGTTAGAATAAAATCCAAGCTAGATTCACCGCAAGTGACAACAGGACATGAATAGTGTTCAACTTATCCACATGAGCAAATGTTTCCTCATAGCCAACTCCATGGTCTGAGAGTATCCTTTGATGACCAATCTTGTCTTGTTGCATTCAAAGGACTCGTCAGAGTTGAGCTTGGTGCTGAAAATCCATCGGCACCATACAACTTTCTTACCCCGAGGAAGGTCCACGATGTCCCACGTATGGTTTTGCTGAATGGCATTCATCTCCTTCATTGTTGTTATTTTATAGGTTGGATCAGCAAGAGCAACCACAATAGTAGCAGGGATCTGATGGTCCATCGCGGCAATAACAAATGCTCTATAAGTTGGTGATAAACTGTGGAAAGAGATATATTTTGTCATAGAATAGAGACAACATGTCTGATTGTGTACCTTACTCAGGGAACTCGCCTCCTCATTCGGAGGAGGGGTCATGATGAGGATGTCATCCAGAGTGGAGTCAAGGTCATGTAAGGAGGTATCAGAATCCAAAGTAGGAGAATTGGGACGAGTGTGTCGAGTGCAGACACGGACAATGGGAGGAGGAGATGGTGCATTCAACGGGACATGTGACTCCTCAGTGGTAGAAACAATGAGATGACTATCCATAAAAGTAGGATAAGAGAGTGTTGGGGAACTCAAGCCCCCCTCACTAGAGACCGAGTTAGAAAAATAGGAAACACTTACAAAGGAGACAACAACACTCACATAAATTTTGTTTGTGATTGGATCAAGACACTGATACCCATTTTGAGTTTCGGGATATCCAAGGAAGATACATTTTATGGATTGAGATCAAGCTTATTCCGAGTAGGGGTAGTGTTTCAAAAAAAGTTAGTGCACCCAAAAACCTTGGAATCTAATGTGGAGAAAACCCGATTGGTAAGGAAGCATGACATCAAAACGACTAAGGGGGTTCGGAACTTGTGAATTTTGGAGGAGACTATTTATGAGATACGTGACAGTTAAAATGACATCGTTCTAAAAATGTTTCGGGAGATTGAATTGAAGCATAATGGAGCGACGTCAAGGAGGTGACGGTTTTTCCTCTCGGCTACCCCATATTGTTGAGGAGTGTCTGTGCAATAACTATGGTAGAAAATGCTTTTACTAACAAAAAATTCACTCAAAATAGAGTTGAAAACTCGCCATTGTCACTCGCCATTGTCGGTCTGAAGGACCTAAATAAGAGTTTTGAATTGAGTTAAGAAAGAGGTATAGAAGTTTCAGAAGGTTGCAACGATTTCTAATTTGTCTTTTAAAATGTAGATCCACGTCATTCGAGTGTGGTCATCAATTAATGTTAAGAACCACCGTTTATGGGTGTAGTTAGGAGTGCAAGGACCCCATATATCATTGTGAAAGAGGGAGAAATAAGCAGAAGATGTGTAAGCGTGAGGAACGAGGGAGAAATAAGCAGAAGATGTGTAAGCGTGAGGTGAGTAATGGACTTGGTAATGCGTTAACTGGCATGTTTCACAATTGAAGTTTGAGAGGTTTTTATTAGAAAATATCAAATGATACAACTTTTTAAAATATTGAAAAGCAACGATGCCTTAAACGACAAATTACCAACATAACGGGGCATTCAATGACCTGAGATAGGCTACAATTTTTTAGTGTCGTGTCTTCACCCTCCATATTCTCATTTTGGTAGTTCTAATTATCCTCCCAAAACGACGATCATGAAAAACACAACCATCATAAGAGAAATTAACAACGCAATTAATATCACTTGTCAACTTGCTGATATATAATAAGTTACATTGCAATCGGGAACGTGTAAAACAAAACACAAAGTTAGATCGATCGTTAGTACAAACGACCTTTTACTAATAATGTGACTCAATGATCCACCAGCACTTATGATGGTATTTCTTCCGAAGCACGGATCGTAAATCGAGAAAGTTTGTGAGCAGCCAGTCATATGATCAATTGCACCTGAATAAATAATCCACGGATTAGAAGAATAAACTGTGAGAGTCATAGGAAGAGTACCTTATCAAACAAGAGAGGTTGACGGACCCGCGGAGACTTGATTGGCTCTAAGAAGATTGATCAATTGCTTCATCCGGTTCTTTAGAGATTCGGAGGATTCCAGGATGTTCCGTGTATGACTTTATTGAGTCGTGCTTGGTTCAGCCGTCGCCGTGCATCCCTCGACAGTAGAGGATTTGGTTGAAGGTTTGCATGTCGGCTTACCGTGAAGTTTTCAACACTTGTCCCGAGTATGGTTGGGTTTGTGATAGTAATCATAAGTGGGGTGACCAGTCTGAGGTGACATGGACGAGGGCTGAACGCTATTGAGGATTAAGGTAGACAATTCAGTTGAAGGAGAAGTGTCGAGCATGACAAGTCTCATGCTTTCTTCCCAACGAATCTTGGTAAAAGCAACGCGGGCGGAAGAAAGAGAATCCAAACCAAGAATACTACCCCTGACTTAATCAAGGTCTTTGTTAAAGCCAATAAAGAATTGAAACATACAATCCTTTTCTATGATCTTCTGGAAGAGAGATAAGTCGCTAGAGAATCCCAAGTGTAGTCATAGTACATATTGTATTTCCTCCATAGTGCAAGAAGATAATTATAATACTGGATCACAGTCTTAGACCCTTGTTTTGCCTCTCGGGTCTTAGATACCTCATAGAGTTGGCTGGAATTTCTTACATCATAGTAGGTATCACGGACAGGCGTCCAGAAGGCACTAGGAGTAGTGAGGAACATGTATGAACGACCAATTGAGGTTTCCATGGAGTTCATCAGTTATGACATAACCATGGAGTTATCCACTTCCCAGGCTCTAAAAGCCAGATCAGTCTTTGGGGCTCATGAACCACACCAGTGAGGTAACCAAACTTCCCACATCCGTTAATGAACAAAGGCACAGCTTGGGACCATTGGAGAAAACTATTGTCGTTCAGTTAATGGGTTACGATTAAAAACTAATGTTAGTTTCTGATTCTCCAACCTGCAAGGGAGCAGAAATTGGAGCAAATCCTTTGATGGAATCCAGAACACCTTCTGAAAGTGGTTCAGAGTTGGAGGAATCCGCCATAACTCTGACTGAGCCAAAGGAAAATTTGAGATTCTGAGCCATCGATGAACTATTGTTTGGTTGGGCAGTGGACAACAGAAAACTAGTAAAGGAGGGAACAGTGGCGGTTGGATCAGAGAATTGTGGTTGCTAAAGAACTAGAACCTGCGGATAAATGTCTTAGAACAACGGGATCTTGCGAAGTACCATAGGAGAGCGGGACAACGGTACCTTGCCAGACTTTGCGAAACAGCGGGACTTTGCGGAACAACAGGATCTTGGGGAGAAGCGTTGTAGAATAGAGGAACAACGAGGACCAACAGAGAAGGCTGGTGGCTAATGGATCTAGGGTTAGGCTCTGATACCATGTAGAAATTTGGAATATACCAGCTCAACTTTATTTATAGAAAGGATATTTAAACGCAATTATAATATGCATAATAATGGAAAATAATTAAAATAAATAAAATAACAAGGAAAGAAAATAAAACAGAATAAAGAAAAAAAGAAAAAAATATTATCATGAGATAAAAATTAAATATAGCCGTTATAATCTAATTATTATTATTATTATTATAATTATTATTATTATTATGTGTTTTGTTTACCCAAAAGGCAACTATGAGCCAAATTGAATGAGAAAAAGAACAGAATTTTAAATGTGTAGGATTAAGATCCTTTAATGTGTTTTGTTTACCCAAAAGGCACTCTAAGCAAAATTGAACGAGAAAAACAGCTGAATTTTAAATGTAGGATTGAGATCCGCGTGTAACAGCATCAAGCTAATAGGTAATGATTGATTTTAGTAACTCAGGCAAACCCAGACAATGGCTTAAAGTAGGGAAGAATATGAAATTAAGCATATAAAGCACCTTTTATTAAATTTTTCAGCAATCCAATTAATATGTCCTGCTTTTAGTTAATTGGATGACACATGCATAGGATCTAATATCAATTTGTTGCAAGGAAATAAAGACAGTAGGATTCATTAATGAATCTATAATGCAATGCATAATGAAAATACACAAAAATCACAATTCAAATGTTACCAACTGTAAACTTACAAAAATAATATATAAACAACAAATATGTTTCTTTCATTCCAAATAATAATTTAATTGTCGCTAAAATCTAAACTTTATTGAATAAACATACAATTTCAGAAATGATCAAGATTTACTCCATGAAAAAGAATCCTACTTGGCACTCTTAATAAAATTTCATTCATGCGCACACGTCAATTACAAGACAGATTAAAAATAAGATCAGGGAAGCAAATTTGGATTAATTATCTAAAAAACTCTTTCATTATCTTCAAAAAATCTAAAGCATCTCACCTTCACATCTCTGACCATATAAATACCAAATATACATAATGTCAAACTAAATTGAATTAAGCACCCACTTGTTGACCTCATTTTTAGTGAGGGCTTGATTCAAGTCTTCCCAGCTCAAAACAGACCTAAAGTATTTATAATTGGTGCTTTATGATGGTTCGGCTAAAATCAAACTCATTTCAATATAAATTATGGGTTGGCTAAGCACAATGCTTCTTAATTAGGAGCAACAAGCTTCCAAATTACAGGATAGCATTATTTAAGTTACAAGCAAATTTATCATTAAACTGTATTAAAGTCCCAAGTATCCTCAAAATGTACTTAATAAATTCCCTCGTACACTACATATTTTGCGTATGTTCATTCTAAACCTTTGCAACTACTGAATTTTGAGGTATCTCTTCCCATATAATACTAACCTAAGATGGTTTGGCATGCGCCTTCACAAAAGAATTGCGACAATCTATGGTTACGCAGGACTTCATGCAATCTAGGTTTCCTAATGCAACAAAAAAATGATGCAATAGAAATAAACCACAAAAACCAAATTTCAAATTAGCGTATTCAAAAACCACCAATTAAAACAAGCATTCCTGTTAGAAACAAAAAAACAAGAGAAAATTTAAGGAATGTCTGTTCAAAAAAATTGAAAGAGAAATTCAAAACAATTAAAAAATATTATTCACGCATCAATTAAAAACAATTAATAATCATTCTGATTAAAATTAATAATGCTCACTAACAAATATCAAATTATGTATATGAAAACAGTAAAAAATCACAAAACACGGAAATGCACAGCTCACGTCCATACAACAAGATGAATTCCCCAGAAATTAGTAGTAGCACTTATACCGCACCAAATCGAATCGAAATCCAACAAAAAGCACAAGATCCCCTAAAATTACAAGCCATGAATGAGTTTTTATAATTAAAAAACAATTTCCCAAAATATCATCATAGCAGGTTATAGCTCAAGCTTGGTGAAGGGGCAGATGCATAGATTTAATCAAAAAATTATAATTCATGGGCATCCACAAACCTAAAATTAACTTATAATTAGTCATTAAGATCACGAGAAGAGAACCAACATACAAGAATTGTAGCTAAGCCCAGGTGCCATGTGAAACTAATCCTAAATAATGATAGAAAATATGCAAAAAATATCATATGAAACCGATCTAGCAATAGTAAAAAATAGTGACCCTTATGCCCAGTATAGAAACTGGCCAGCAACTTTGCTACAACTCCAAAGGAGTAAGAATCACCAAACCACCTGTTCGAGAGTGTGTATAATAAACGAACTATGCTTTAAAGGTGATTTCTAGCACGCAGTACTACTGTTATTCTTAGAACTTAAAGCATAATAACATATCATTTATGTTCAAAAGTGATGTTTTTGAGCCATTCAAGTATCTAACTTCTTTTGACAAAGTTTTGAAATAAAAAATAGATAAATATGTATGTAATAGGTGCACGTGTAAAACTAGCTAATGTTATTGAACAACTAAATCAATAATTAAGCTACATATAATTGTAGTAGAAATTTGTTATTTAAGATAAAACTAGCTAACTGATGATTAAAATTGCAAGTCTCAAATGGTTTGGAAAATAAGATTAATGGGATTGAATACTAGATTAAGACAACATTCATGATTAAGAAAGCTGTGGAGACATTTTAACTTGCTAAATTTGTTTGAAGGGATCATGGATTTATTTCCACCTAATTTCCAAATATATATAAAGAGCCAATGAGCAGAACAAATTATAAAATAGTTACACCTGTTTCTAATTTTAGTCCAATTACTCCTTGTTCCTTGTTGCAAATATAGATGGAATTGATGTAAGCTTTTAACTACAAGTAGTGGAAGATATTGGAAAGGATCTTTAATTTCACTTGAAGAAAAATGAATGTCACAGAGAAGTTGTATTTAAACAGAAGGCCTGGTTGTGTTAGCTCAAAACCATTCTCCACTAAATGATTAATAAGAAATTTACATGTGTGGCACACGATTCTTATGTATTTACATAACCCACACCCAAACTTTCATATTTACATACATAGCAGTGGTGCTTTAAACCAATGCATTAAAAGATGTATTTCACTTTTAAAAAATGATAGTAGTGTTCTTTTTTATGTGATATTAAAACTTTGAGTGCTATGTGTGTGAATATGGAAGTTTAGTTGTGAGAGATGTAAATACGTTGGGAATTTTGTGCTATGTATGTAAATTTTCCAAGATAAAAATGTACTTTTGGGATGCTTTATTAGGTTCCATATCAATTAAATTCTTTTTCAAGAGGAGATTTCTGCACAGACCTCATAGTACCACCCATGCCGCTCAGCAAATGACTTCGCAGCATCTTCGCTGTCAAATGAAAGTGCTGCATCACCGACATTAGCATACGGATCTCCTGTAGAAGTCCAGCCCATTAATGGATTTTCCCACCTTCAAAGTAACAAAAGAAAACAGAGTAAGAAGACACCCTAATCATAAAAAACTTCGGCTGTTAACAAGCAAATACTGAGTAGAATATAAAGGGGATAACAAAATGTCGGACAATATATTTTTTTAATACATAAATGAAAGGATAAGTAAGGCGCATCGATAATTGATACCAAAAGGAGAGTATATGAGATTATAGAAGAGCGTTAGTCATCAATATTATTCACACAACGGCTGAAAAGAATCTGAAAGCAGAACTACAAGGATAATTCAAGAGCACTCCGTTATTCTGCAATGTGGTACAAGGAGTATGAGCAAATTTAAAAAGGGCCCATTTGAGAACTTTTTTTCTATTTTCTTTTTAGCCTTTATTTTAAAAACAAGTTTTTATTTTAAAACTTCTTTGTAATCATAATTAATCATAATATTTTAAAAACAAAAGTCAACCACTAAGGGGCCATTTGGGATCCCTTTTGTTATTCGTCTTTTGTTTTATGTTTTGATTTAAAACAAAATATGTTTAGTTGTCGTTAAAAACACTCAAAATAATTTTTAGATGTTTTGAGTGTTTTAAAAACAATCTAATTTTTTTTAATAGAAAATAAAAAATAAAAATATGCAAAAAAAACAATAAACAAATATGTTTTAAAGCAAAAGCAAAACAAAAGCAAAAATAAAAAAATAGAAGTGATCCCAAACAAGCCCTAATAAAATCAGTATATACAAGCTTTCCTTTCACTGAAACCATGCCTTAAGAGAATATTTTTCATAGGGGAGAATGAGGGGCTAAAAAGAGAAATGCACATTTGTTTATACTTGTGGATCTCTTAATTTTCATGATTGATATATGAACATAAAATACTTCAAAAGAGCACATATGATGAAAATCTTGTTATGTAATAGAAAACCTATTCAAAGCTCAAAATGATTGCTTCAACCATTTATAATGGAACCATTCAGGAAGAATTGATATAAAAGCAATGAGACATTCAACCAGATTAGAGCAGAAAAGTAAGAATTGGCATCAAGTCCATCCTTGTTCATAATTTAACCACCATACCAATCTATAGTCTTCAGCCACTTCAATTGCAATCATTATTATCTAAGCCGTCATACAAAGATTTCTCATAATCAATTTGGATTTATGTCAAGCAAGTCTACCATGGAAGCTATACATTTATTGAAAGGTGCGATGGAGAAGTACAGAAAGAATAAGGAAGATCAACATATGATTTGTAATGATTTAGAAAAAACTTACGATAAGATTCCAAGAGAAGTTCTTTGGAGAGTTATAGAAAAGAAAGATCTTAATGTGGCTTATATTCAACTCATTACAGATATGTACGCCAGAGTTGTTAATATGTTCGAGCAGAAGGAGGATTGATCAAGTATTTTCCTATTTCAGTTGGATTACATAGGGGATCGACTCTAAGCCAATAACTTTTTGTTTTAGTTTTGGATGCTCTTACTAGACATTTACAGGAGGATGTACCTTGGAGTATGTTTTTCAGTGATGATATCCTTCTTATGGACAGCAAGAGAAAGAGTTCAAAAAATACTTGAACTATGTAGGTCTAAATTAGAGTATAAAGGTCACCATTTGAGTAGATCTAAAATTGAATACATTGATTGCAGTTTTAGTAGTAGTAGTAGAACTAGTGGTAGTGTTGTAACAATAGGTGATCAAATCTTTAAAAAATGTGAACATTTTAGATACCCCAGGTCTATTATTCAAAGTGATGGTGATATAGATGGGGATGTTATTATTAGAATTTAAGTTGGATGGTTGAAATGAAGGAATGCATCGGGCCTATTGTGTGATAGAAAGTATTGTTTAGACTTAAAGGAAAATTTTATGAGATGTTGGCGAGACCTGCAATGCTTTATGGCGCAGAATGTTGGCCTTTAAAAGAGAAGCATAAACCCAAGTTAAGAGTTACTGAGACGAGAATGCTTAGGTGGATAAGTGGCTCAACGCTTAGACAATGCAAAATGAATGTATTCGTGAAAGGTTTGATATGGCTCTAGTGGCAGACAAGATTAGAGAGCATTATATTAGATGGTTTTGTCACATTAAACGACGATCACTTGATGATCTGATCAGCAGAGTAAATGTTTTAGATTTGAATTATGTTAAAAAAGGTAGAGGCAAAACTAAAATGAATTGGGTATATTGTATTAAAAGTGATCTTAATTTATCAGTACTAAATGAAAATATGACACTCAATAAGACACAATAGAAAAAAGGGATTTTATTGTTGTTATTTTTGCAATCATTAGCTAGTAGCCTTCGCCATTGGCTACAACTTAAGACCATTTATATACCATTAACCACTATGAATTGGTAGTGTCACCCAAATTAGTTTGCCTTCATTGTCATCATCATAAATACCTTTTCTTGAAAAATTGAGGTCAATTTTTTATGAGTCCTCCTTTTCCATTCTTTGAGTGTTAAATGATTTTTCAATTTTAGTTTGAATTTTTCGTAATTTGTAGCTAACAAACCCTTCATTTAATACTTTTTTCCTCTTAAGCTTTCCACACAAACTCTAATTACCGGTCTGATTTATGAAGCTTTAATCATCCATTATTTAATTCAAATATACTTAAGCATAATATATAGTACCTCATGTTTAATGGGGTTTACTCTATCAAATATAATCATTTGTCAATATCTGCTTCAAGCTATGCCTTTGCATCTATCTTAATATTTTGAATTTTTTTTCATAATCAAGCAAACTGCAACAAGGTACTTTGTTGCCTAACACCCATAGCAATATAGTATAGTTGGTTCTAAAAGTGTAAATGAGCCAAGCCAGATCACAAGCTCCCTCAAACTCAACTTGCCAACACGCTCATAGGTCAACCTTATCAAGCCTTGAGTTCATACTTAGGTAATAAATTGTGTATTATGAGATCAAGTTCGAGCTTAACAGTTAGCTCATTGCTCACAAGGCGCTGACCTCATTTTCATCACAGACCATCTTCAGACTCGTTAACGTGCTTTGTAGAACACTCATCCGTTGTTCATGGTGATAGTTGGCTTTGATAGTGATTGATCGACTCCAATCTACGTGTTATTTGTGCAATCATGTGTGACAACAGTTCTAGTCACTTGTGGTCATTGGGGTCATCATCATGCTCAAAATTGTACTCCACAAGTTGTATCATGTTCTTTATAATTTGAGGATGCACGAATGAGTGTGTCGATGATTCAAAGCTCTAGCATTACTTCATATAAGCAGAGTTTTATTTATATAAATTTTTTGTTGTTGTAAATTTTTTTCTTATCAAGGCTTAGTTTCACAAAAAAGATTGGGTGAGCATGTCCGAATCATCAAAAAGGCTTGATGGTTCATCCACATCCGAATTAGGCTTCATTCGACATGTGTTGAGAGGTCGAGAAATATATATATTTGCTCAAAAAATCCATTTCTCCACAATTATAGTTAAATCAATATCACTTGATTTAGGGCACTGAAATGAAATGTCATTCCCATCACAACTAAAATGTTTTTGTCCCATGGTGACTCCTTCAAATGTCCCCCATTCCATCATAACTTTCTCTTCTTCTTTAAATACAATATATATATTTGCTCAAAAAATCCATTTCTCCACAATTATAGTTAAATCAATATCACTTGATTTAGGGCACTGAAATGAAATGTCATTCCCATCACAACTAAAATGTTTTTGTCCCATGGTGACTTCTTCAAATGTCCCCCATTCCATCATAACTTTCTCTTCTTCTTTAAATACCACGAGTCAAGTCAAGCGCGCTCGAAAGCCCATCGGCTTGAGCTTGATTAATTTTATTGAGTTTGAGCTCAACCTCGAGCTTAAGTCTGCGAGTTCGAGCCAGCTTGTTTATTATAAAATAGAGAAAAAAATATTAATTTATGGTAGTGTTATAAAAAAATGGCATATAAAATGAGCAATTAGGAGTTAAATAATAAGAAATCACTTAATATAAAATACAAAATATATAATTTTAAAATATTTTAAATGCATTAAAGATAAACTCTTTAAATTTAATATATTTTGAGTATATTTTATATTGATATTATTTTTAAACGAAACGGCTCACGAGCTAACAAGTTGAATCGAGGCTAGTTTAAGCTTGGCTTTTTAGCTCATCGAGCTCAATTCATGAGCGACTTATCGAGCCAAGCTAAAGCCAGCTCACGAGTGGCTTGACTCACTTACACCCCTAGTTTTACTCACAAGGAAAGCTATGAAATGAACTAGCCAGCAAGATTCCAAGGGGACACACCAGGATAGGGCTCAAGACAAACTTGTCAAATTGGGATCACTAAAGGACTCGTCAAGTGAAGCCCAGAATAGTTCGCTCAACCGAGTTTGAAGTATCTGTCAACCAAAAACTAAACAAACTCATTTGCCATTTAAAGAAAAAACCACAAAGTCTTAAGGAAAACACCATCGGAGCTAACTGTGGTCTCCTCGCACCAAACTAGCCCAAATAGTCGTTCACATTTTGAGAAGATATTTAGATTATATTACAAGGGGGCCTAGTGAACACTATGATCTGCAGCCAACTACTAGTACAAATTCTGAGTCTATGCTTGTATCAAGGCTATCTGACTCTTGTATCATTTTTTTATGCAGATGGTTTGTCCTAAAGTTTTTTTTGTATCGCTTCAGTCCTCAAATCCCTATTTATAAATAGGAGATTTCAAGACAAGCCAAGATTCCAACTTTTTTTGGCGCTTGGGTCTAAATTTTACTCATGCATTCTATATTCTTAATCATATTAAGTGGGTTTTTACTCTTTTTACTTCATTTCTCTTGACCTTCTCGGTCTCCTCTGAATTAGTAAGGTTCTAGCATACCCATAAACAAATTTGGATACAACACTATTGGCCTCGTTGCAAGTTCTTCAAACAACATTAGTTTCATCAATCTCTATTCCAGCAAACTCCCATCACGACTCTTGATTCCCTCCCCATTGTTGATACCAGCTCATGTCATAACTCTAATTATATTTCATTAGTGACCTCGAGCTACTAATCAAGCTCTAATTTTGCATTAAACATGTGAGTTGAGTTCAACCTCAATACACGAGCTTGACTCGTGATTCGAGCTTGACTCGACTCATTAACATCCTTAGTTGGTTTTATTATAATCCTATAAAAGCGATCTTCAATTTTCATAATGTTCCTTATCAGATAATCCTCCCAAATCCTTTTCAAATTTATCAACCTTACTTTAACTCTAGAATTTGTGTCCTCATCAATATACCCCGTGCTTCATATATATAATATATAAGAAGCATTTTAAAACATGGCTTCGGACTCAAGTGTAGAGGGAAGCAAAATGGCATTAAAGTAATCAAGGGAGGCTATTAGCTTGCAGACATATGTCTTAAACAACAGAACGTCACCCAAGACGCGAAGGAGGCGCTTTTTGCACCCAGTTGATGAGGTGTATTATTATATTACCTATAATATAAGTTAACCAAACTTAATTTAAGGAAATAGAATTGGTTTATTATTAATAACATTCCTATTTATTTAAGAAAAATCTAAAATGCTAAAATTAATTTCTTAAATCTTCGCTCAAATGGTTTGGCTCCATTATGTTATCAAGGTAGAAAGCCTGCGAGTGATCTCGCATTCATTCATCTCCCGTTTGTAGGAAACAAAATCAAAAGGAAGCTAAGCTGTGAATCTATTTGAAGTTGAAAATAATGGTTTAAATGAGATGAAATTTGTTTGTGAAATTGAATTCACAACTCGATCCAAACCAACGTCTGATTTAGATTGTCTCAATTGAATTGTCTCGAGTGGGAAAAAGATTTGGATGATGAGTAGCTTGAGGAATAGGAAATTGAGTTTGAGGGTCTGTTTAGGATAGTTTTCTGCCTGTATATCAAAACAAATGATAAAATGCAAATCCTAAAGCTTTTCTATGTCAACAAACAATAAATCAAATCCACTCTTAGGAAATGTTATGTTGCTGAAAATGAAGGAAAACAATGAGAAAAAAAAAGTGGGGAAACAGCGTCATATAAAGAAATTTTCAAAAAACTGAAATCAAATCAACAGAACAAAACGCCATATTGAAACTAAGAGTCGAGATAATATGCAGTTTCAAGAGGAAATGCCAAATATATAAAAAAAAAAAAATACTAAAATAGTATTAGAATCAAAACCTCCAATGATTATCACTCAAGTCAACATGAAACAGATTAGCGAGAAAGTATTAGAATCAAAACCTCCAATGATCATCACTCAAGTCAACATGAAACAGATTAGCGAGAAAGCTATCACAAAAAAAGCAAGAGAAATTCGCTTGTTTGAAACTGAAGACTTTAAAAAGCAGGCAACTCGTGGATCCAAGAGACAATCATATACATGATACAAGAAATGTCTCAAGCAAAGCGCCCATAATCATTTCCAAAATAAGCAGAAAACCATCTAAAATCTACCTACAACATGCCAAAAAATGGTCTTATGCAATTTACAATAACATAAGCTAGACACCTGAAAGGTGCCCTAAACCCAAGGAAAAAAAAAATCTATATATCAAATGAAAGTTCATGTGATGTGGCTTCCGTAGGCTTCTTCCTTGCATGGATCTTAAATTCGCTGCCAAATGATCTCCATATCTGTATTTTCCATTCATACAGATCAATCTTAGACCAACAAAAGAGCACTTATGTATTCAAAAATAAGCAAATTTGCACAACCTATGCTTCCATTCATACAGATCATTCTTAGACCTACAAAGGAGCCTCTATGTATTTTGAAGATTTACATACATGCCACTCAATTTCTATTTATTTGCATATCTAAAAACTAAACTTGAGTTTTTAACATACATGCCACCTCACTTATGCATGAGAAGGTGTATTTCACTTTTGAAAATAAAAATGGTAGTATTTTTTATGTGAAATGAAAGATTTGGGTGCTAAAAACATAAAAAGTAAAGTTTAAGTGTTAAATATGTAAGTACATAAGAATTGGTTGGTGCTGGGTATGTATGTAAATGCACCTTGAAGATATTAAGCAGTATACCACCGGGACAAGCATAGAAGGAAGCAACAAGGACTTTCTGAAACCAAAAAACTTTAGGATATCCCACGAAAAGAACTGAACCTTAACACATAATTGAACAAAGTTCCTTAAAAGGTTTCTCAATTAGAAGGCGAAAAAATAAAAGATATTCAGCAGCTATCAAACAGCAATAAAAAACTTCAAAAGTGGTACGCTCATCCTTATTAAATCTTCAAGTACAAAAATGTTCAGTGAAAAAATAAAAACTATGCCCAAGCAAATCTATCACACAATATATCCTATACATGCATTAAGTTAACAATTTAACAATATTTCATATACAACAGATGTGCGGCGAAAATAGTGTCTGCATTGATGAGCGTACTTTTGAGTGGACATAAAATTGATTTTCCATTTTCCAACTTTCCCAGAGCCTTGCTGAGTTGCCGTGCGGGCTGGTGAGTAGATAATGACCTACAGAATGAGAAATTCAACTCGAGCGAAAAATGAAAATTAAATTTGAAAACAAAATGGAGATTAGCTAATATGCTTTGTATATTTAAACTTAAAGAAAACTAAATTTATGATACCATGTAGCAAAATGTTTTATCATTTTTAAAGGGAGCACCCTACTTTGAACAATGCATTCATACTTCATAATACTTACAAGGTTTATAAATAAACAATGCCTTAAATTTATTAACAAATTTCAAGTATTGCTATTTGGAAAGAGCTCTTGATCTGCTGCATTTCTACCAATATGGTACAAGTCTTGTTAACAAAAGCTTCAAGAAGACAAGCCATTGTGAAGCTTTATACAGAAACACTAATACGTTATGAGATGTCACTGCAATTAGGGCAATTGTAGTGTACAATGGATCGACATTATTAAAAAAAAGTTTTCTAACTTTACACTTGCTGATTTGTAATCAGCACAGACAGCTAACGTAAGTAGCAAATTTTCTTTAACTTTCTCACACTCTTTAAAAATGCAGGACCTGCTGAAAGTGAAATTATTCTCTTCTGAATGCTAAGATTATAAACCCTATATTACAAAACAGGAGATAGAACCAACAAAGTCTCAAGTCCTCCGTACGAATGAAATTATTCCCAAACATAAAAGTGTTGAGTTGACATTCAAATTTCAAAGTCTCAAGTCCTCCGTACGAATAAAATTATTCTCAGATCACTGGTTACAGCCACCCAAACATAAAAGTGTTGAGTTGACATTCAAATTTCGAAAGAGCTGTTAAGTGCAATTAGGGCAATAGTAATCTACGATGAATGGAAAAAATTAAAAATAAGTGCCGATCAAGTTGCATTTGAAGACTCTCATGAAGAAACGATAAACTAAACTTTTGTTTTGTAGTTAGCACAATCAGCTGATACAGCTTGCAATTCTCCTAAATTTCTAACACTATAAAAACGTAGGACCGATGCAAAGCCTAAGATCCCTATATCACAAAAACGGGAAATTGAAACCATGATTAACCTCTTAAAAAGGGCTCAAAGGCCTCCATGTGAATCATAAGATTTGTAAAAGGTTGGGGGAAACACAAGAACTGAAGAGGGAATACCCTGCGACGGAGATGCTCCTCGGGGATACCGGTAACGAACCCTATCTCGCCGGGCTTGTACTCAACTACGGCATCCGTGGAGAGCAATCGTGATTGCGGTAACTGGGGGAGGAGGAGTTTAGTGAAGAAGCTGCTGCGACGCCTCAAGAGAATCGCCATCTTTCTTTTCCCTGCAGCAGGACCGCTTGCAGAACTTTTGGGAATGCGAAAGTAAAATTTACATACATGCCGGAAAAATCTTATGTATTTGCATATGTAATCCTTTAAATTTGATATTGGGAAGATGTACATACATATCCCTCAATTCTAAAGTATACCTAAACTTCAATATTTACATGCATTTTTTTTTTTAAGTTGAAACAAGAATCTCGAGAAAATTCAAAAGATGATAAGCACAAAGAAACACAGAATAATAGGGCCCACGAGCAAAAAGTAAAATGCGCACAAACGGAAGACAAATGGTCCCTCATTTAAGTGTTCATTGACAAAATATCAGAGGACTTGTCAGGGCAACCCCCATTATTAGTCGGGTCAAAGGTTGGTTGAACGAAAATCGTCTGAGTGAGAGACCAGAGTCTATCGAACCAAACGAAAGCATTGATCCATCTCGTCATGATTTGAGTGACAGGAAGGATTCAACATCGTTGATCCTCTTACAGACGCTCACACGATTCCTTGCTCGTGGTCAAGATTTGGCCGCAACGCTCTCAGCAGAACACCCTGAAGGCTTCCTTTGTTTGTCGATGAATGAGTTGTCTGTCGGATTACAATAATTTACCGCATGCACGATAACCTAGTTTTATTCCTTATACAAGAGTTTCCTATTTTGAGATTGATGATCGATAATTAGATTAATGGAGCCGATCGAGCCAAGTTCGACCGACCTAAACAACATAAAAGATCAACTAATAACCCAATTCAAAATAGATCGACGAACCGAGACTGACTAAGCCGACTGAGTTAGACGAGGGCCTAATCAAAGGCTCACAAATGTAAAATACCAAAACCTATACAACCCCCATTAAAAGCACGAGCATAACTACAATTTTATATATTGTACTATCTTTCTCTTTTATTAAGAGGTCACTTGATGTGTAAAATGTTACACGTTTATTTCAAATTACACGTTATTACTACATAGTTCTCTGTCACATGTTTTATGTTCTATTCCTTCGATGCGATTCACGGACAATTCAAATTCAACAATACAATATGAAAGATTTGGGTGACATTAATATAAAATTTAAAATTTAGGAGTTAGATATGTAAATTTTTAGAAAATGGTTGGTATTTTATATTTAGGATTGTGTTAAAATCTAGGAGAATTTAC